CCCATCCCGTCACAAGGATTTCCCCACTGGCCAAATCTTTCTCCCTCTTTAAAGTTCACATAGCTCTCCCTTCTCTGTTCTTAAGCTTCTTACCCTATAGTCTCTCCATGAACTATACCTAAGCTCTCATTATTCTCTTTAGTACCTTTTGTACCTTTCTTTATTTTGCCCTCCCCTTCCAGATCATACCCTATTCAAGGGGTCAGGGAGAAAAGCTCACCTTTCACGTCCAAAAAGGCTCATTGTGGTATTTTTCTAGACAAATAAAATCTTGTCTCTATTAATGAATATGGCATTCTTTGGAAGGCAAACATGACGATGATAAGTTTTACCTTCAAGATCCATTTTTCCCCTTGCTACAATTCATGAAGATGTACTACAATAAGCATAATCTCAGGAAATGCCCTGCTCCCAGATGCTTAATCTGCCCACAGGTCTTATGTTGATACACAGGCTACAACTTTAGAGGCATAGAATGTCTAAAAAAAGGGGAAAAAAAGATGGGTATGACTGCACCAAGCACTCATTCCACACACTCCTCCACACCATTTTACAGAGTGTGAGGCCCAGGAAGTTCAAACGACTAGTCCAAATCAGACATTAGTTGCAGGGCAGGGGCTGGAGCTCAAGTCTCCTGGCTCCATTCAATTCCATTCAATACAACAAACACCTAAGTGAGCCCCTGGGAACCCGGCCCAGGAAAAGGAGTGGTGGGGTTTTCTGGGAAGGGGCTCTACATGGCAGTGACTTCACTGGGTGGGGGCTCAGAGCCAGAGAACATTTGATTGTTCCCACACCCCAGATAATCTGTCCCCATCCCCCACCCTGCAGCGGGTGTGTCCTGGTTAAACTGGCACTGTATGATCAAAACTAGATTAAATTCCTGCAATCCATGAGACTAAGCAAAGGTGGCCTTAATTCTGTGAAAAGGCAGGCAGGATTTCCATAGGTGGAGATGGCAGGGTGTGAGTATTTGGGGAAGTGGTCACAAGTAAAGGCGATTTGCATGGTTGAGAGTTGCTTTTGAATCCCCATTCAGCCATTTGAGTCAACTCCCTTCAGTTCTCTGAGCCTGTTTCTTGAGCTATAAAACTGAGATAAACTATCTCGATGAAGACTTGTTGGAAAGACTAAGTAAGATAAAGTAGGAAATGTGTTTAGCATTACTGGTGGCTATTAGAACTATTACTGTATTCCAGGCACTTGTCCAATTCAATCCTCACAACAGTTCTGAGATGTGAAGTTTTATTATTAGCATGACTGTTTTATAGACTAGGGGCCTGGAGTTTAGAGAAACTAAGTTACCCAAGTTGCTTAGGCAACACTGCTAAGGTGTCAATCTCTGTGGCATGGCTGCAGCAGAAGATACACATTGGGGGAGGGGGGGGGCAGCAGAAAATAGTAAAGTAAATGTCCTATAACCCTGGAAGATGCAGCTACTTCCAAGAGCCCTGTGTACCTTTTTTTTTTTAACTATGTGATAACAGGTTCATCTTTTTGGAGGTCATTTTTATCTTAGGTGGCAGCAGGAAAGACTCCTGTTAGACTGAAAGAAGAAATTCTTAACAATGAGAATTGTTCACCAAGTAGCTAACAGAATGTTTCTCAAACTCAAGTAAAATTCCCACAGACTCACGCTAAAGTTGACTTAAATTTTTTTTTGTACCACTTAAATATTTATAAGCACAAAACTCAGCATATATATTCCTGGGCTTATAGTTCCTCTATAACTCTAAACCAAGACAAACGGAAAATAAGCAAAACTACTAAACCTATAAAATTCAAGTAAATGCTTCAGTTTAATGTGACAGATCACATTTGAAACCTGACTACGGCACAGTTCTTTTGAGTCTGGCACGCCCATAGCATTGTGTACTGCAGGCAGCTCCTACTCCACTTCTCTGTCAAACTCCTAGAAAACCTTCATTTTTTTTCCCCATTTTTATTATTTTTTTAATTATTAGTTTCAGGTGTACAAAACAATGCAATAGTTATCCTTTTCACCCCTCACAAAGTGACAGCTCCCCTCCCCCCATCCACAGCCTCCCCCACCCCCAATAACATACATATCTATTACAATTCCATTGACTCCATTCCCACACTATACTCCACGTCCCATGACTATATATGTATTAAATTATAGTTGACATATATTATTCAACAGCAGCTTCAGATATACAGTGCAGTGATCAGGCCTCTACACGGTCCATGAAGTGGTCTCACTAACAAGACATGAGTCTATCTGGCCCCCTAAAAAATATTTACAACATTATTGATTATATTCCCCAGACTGTCTTTTCTGTCCCTGAGGCAATATTGTAGTTACCAACTTATGATGTCTCATCCCTTTCCCTTCTCCCTCATCCCCACCCCCTCCCAACTAGCAATCATCAGTTTTTCCTCTGTGTCTGAGACCATTTCTGTTTAAGTTACTCGTTTATTCAGTTCTTTAGATTCCACATATAAGTGAGATCACATGGTATTTGTCTTTCTCTGACTTATTTCACTTAGCATAATGTTCTCTAGGTCCATCCATATCGTTGCAAATGGTACGATTTCCTTCTTCTTTATAGCTGAGTAATACTCCATTGTGTAAATGGACCACAGTTTCTTAATTCAGTCAGTTTGGATTAATTCTTGTTTGTTTTCAAGTCTTGGCTATTGTAAATAGCGCTGCAATGAACATAGGGGTGCATATATTTTTTCGAATTAGTGTCTTGGGTTTTTCTGGATAAATACCTTAGAGTGGAATTGCTGGTCATAAGGTAGTTCCATTTCCAGTTTTTTGAGATGCCTCCATACTGATTTCCATAGAGGCTGCAACAATATGCAATCCCACCAAGAGGGCACCAGGGTTCCCTTTTCCCCACAACCTCACCAGGACTTGTTGTTTGTTGATTTATTGATGAAAGCCATTCTGACCGAAGGAAAACCTTCATTTTGACAGTGCCCCATTTAACGTTCGCCTGTGTATATGCTGTTTTGGTGTTTCCCCCTTTATCTGCTTGGTGACTTGTCCTTTGAGTGGGTTCTTCCCTTGGAAGCCCTTACTGGCCTCCACAAGTTGAGCGAGCCTTGCCCACTCTGCACCCCTACCATACCCTATATGCCCAGTCCCCAGCCCCACAGCCCCTGGTGGTATAATCATTCATTTACCCTCTTGCCTTGCTCCTGAATCATCCCCTCCATCCCTTAGACTGCAAGCTTGTGAAGGTGGGGACTGAGTCTGATCCATTTCTGGTCCTCACTTCCCGACACAGGGCCAGGGACAGGATATTTGCTCAGAGAGAAATACTGAATGCATGAATGAACAAATGAATGAACGAATGAATGAATGAACGAGCTAGATGACCTCTCTTCTAGCTCTGGGATATTCAGTTCCACCATCCAGCTCAGCATTTTCTTTCCTCTTTTCTATCCACACTGTTGTTCTCTTCAAGGGCTGGAAAAAAGTATATCCTAGACTCATAGTAGAGATAGAAGCACCCTATGAGATGACAACTAACATGCAGAGAGGGAAAATTACTTGCCCCAGGGCACCCAGCTAGGATGTGATAGCACCCGACCAGAGGCTATGTGCTCTGATTCCCATTTCAGGGTTTCTTCCAGGACACTATTTCTTTATCATTTATTCATTTATTTATTTTTGGTCAGGGCTGTCTTGGGGAAAGCAATGTTCCCTTGTGACCTCACCTCCCCATGGCAGTGTTTTGGGAACAAACTGGATTCTCACGGTTCTCCCAATGGTGGCAGGTTGCCCATGTCAGGCAAGGTATTTTTCATAACGAAAAAGAAACAAAGATAGCGTCAGACTGCGTTTGTAATTTCCCCATAGTAGCAGCTGGAATCTAAAATCTCTTTGTTTCCCTTCTCAGCTCATTAGGCTGCCCTCGTCCTTGGGAAAGTAGGCCAAGAAAGTGTGTTTGGGGGCTTTAAAAAAAATGTGTACTTATTTATTTACGTATGTATTTACTTCCAGAAACATTTATTTTTGCAACATGAGCCAATATGGATATCCTGCAACTCCCACCCACCTTTCCTCCTTAATTTAGACATCTCACTTCTTTCCCATGGCCAAAAACTCTAGTGTCATCCCTGACCCCAGACATCCTTCTTCCTTCCAGGCAGGGAGGCAGCCCGCCTCCTCAAGCCTGGCCTTCCCAGCGGGCCGTCCTGGCTTTGATCTCACAACGACCAGACCCTCGTTCAACATTTAATCACTTCCTCCCTCAACACCCGTCCTGCTCTCCCTCATCCTGCCCCTTGGCCAAGGCCCTGGAATCCAGGTAAAGAGAAATCCAGAAGGAAGAAAGAAGGAAACTCAGACACATGGATCAGCCACTGTGTACCTGGGACCAGGCTGTTTTTGTGTGGGGGAGAGAGGGTCTGGCTTATTTATTTTTATTGTAGTAAAAACACATAACATAAAATTTACTATTTTACACTTTTTTCAAATAAAGATTTTTATTGGGGGAATTGGGGGAGGGAACAGCGTTGGGGAATTGGAGAAGGGGAACAGACAAGTTGCTGTCCTTTTGTTCTTCAGTCTAGTTGTGGAGGACTCACTTCACTGGCCCATGTTGGTATTGTAATCACTGTGCTCTTCCAGGCTGATGCAGATTGGTTGCTGGCCATTGAACGCTGCTCATGGCGGCTCACAGTCGCTCACACTGGCTGCCGGCCACTCATGGTAGCTAACGGCAGCCCACTGAAGCCCCACTGCAGCCTACACTGTCGCTGGCGACTCAAGGCAGCCCAGCTCCAGGTCAAGCTGTTGTTCACCATGTTAGCTGTAGAAGGGAGTGTCACTGGCCCATGTGGGATCCGAACCGGCAGCCCTGCTGCTCAGAGCTCGCACTCCCAAGTGAACTCTTAACCAATGTGCCACTCAGCCGGCCCCCATTTTACCTATTGTTAAGTGTGCAGTTCAGTGGCATCAAGGACATGTAACTTCTTGCACAACCATCACCACTACCCATCTCCAAAACTTTTTTTTATCACAAGTTGCCAAAATAACTTTATTTTTTCTTTTCAACATCCTGTTCTGCAGCTTCTTTGGCCCTTTTTGCCTGGATGCCAAAGAGCCGGGCATTGGCACGGGCCATGAGAAGGCTGGCAAATGCTTTGAAGTTCTTCTCATCCTCTGTGAGGACCCTGGCGTTCTCCTTCTTGTAGACATTCCGTATGGGCATGACTGGTCCTGACAGCTGGGTAGCCAATTTGAGTTCTTCAGCAGAGCTGTCTCCCTTCTTGGGGGCCGATGGCTTCCTGGGGAAGAGGATGAGCTTGGAGCGGTAGTCCTTCAGGCGCTGCACATTGGCCTGAAGAGACTCGGTGGACTTGTTTCGCCTCCTCGGATCCACTGAGATCCCAATGGTCCGGGCCACCTTCTTATGGATGCCAGCCACCCTTAACTCCTCCGAGCTGAAGCCCCTGCTGGCTTGCACTTTGGTGTGGTACCTCACGGTAGGGCATCTCACTATGGGCTGGATAGGTCCGGATGCAGGGCATGGGGCGATGCGGCGAGCTTTGGCTTGCCGGGCCTTGCGTCTGCGGATCTTCCGCGCCGGCTGGTTAAACCACGTGGCCACACGCCGCTGCCAGTCTTTGTGGAAGTGGGGCTTCAGGATCATGCCATTTCGGCTGGGCGCCATGGCTGCTGCCTACCGGCCTTCTCCAAAGGAGAACGGCCTCCAAAACTTTTTCATCATCCCAAACTGAACCTCTGTACCCATTAGTAACTCCAGATTCCCCCTTTCTCCAGCCCCTTGTAACCACTGAATACTTTTATATACATTATTTCATTTAGTCTTCACGTCTGCCTTATAAGGTAGGTGCTGTTACCCCCATTCTTACACCTGAGAAATCCTAGGCTCAGAGAGGTTAAGCACTTCCCCAAGGTCACTCCTGAGAGTCCAGTCTGAGATTCAGTTCTGTCTGACCAGGCTCCATCATTCTTCTCATCTGTGAGCTCTTTCTCAGGATGTGAGACAGTGAGAAGTGATGCCAAATGCTGGCAAGAGAAATGCAGCAAAACTGCATATTGCTGGTGGGAATGTAAAAATGGCATGACTATTCTGCAGAGCAATTTGGCAGTTTCTTAAAAAATTAAATATGCAGCTACCATATGACCCAGCAATTGCACTTCTAGCTATTTATTCCAGAGAAATAAAAACTTCCATTCACACAAAATACCTGTACATGAATGTTTACAGCAGCTTATTCAGAATATTTGAAAACTGGAAATAACCTAATTATTCATCAATGCATGAATGGTTAAACAAATTGTGGTACATCCACATCATGGAATATTACTCATCAATAAAAAGAAATGAACACTGATACATGTGACAACTTAGATGAGTCTCCAGAAAATCATGCTATGTAAAAAATTCCAATTCCCAAAGTTTACATACCACAGAATTCCATTTACATAACTCAGATTAGTGTTTGCCAGAAGTTAAATAGTAGTGTAGATATAAAACAGCAACATGAGGGATGCTTGTGGTGGTAAATGTTCTGTATCTTGACTGTATCAATGTCAGTATCTTAACTGTGGCATTGGCAAGGCATTACCACTGGGGGACCTGATTAAGGGTACACAGGATCTCTCTGTATTCTTCCTTACAGCTGCAATGTGAGTCTACAAATTTCTCAAAATAAAAATTTAATTAAAATATTACCTGTGTGGTTTCTGTCTCGTCTGAACCCTGCTTGATGCAATACCCTTCATCAGACTGGGGAATTTCTCTTCTCTTTCTGGTTTGCTGAGCGCTTTACTCAGAGTAGGTGTTGATTTCTGGCAACTGCTTTTGTTGCATCTGTAGAAAATAATCATACGGTTTTTCTCCTTATGAAGAATTATATTTATTTTAGAATGTTAAACCAACCTTGCATTCCTGGGATAAACACTACTTTTCACAATGTGTTAATCTTTTTATACATTGCTTGATTCAATTGCTAATATTTGCTTAGGATTTTTATGTATATATTTATGAAATGTCTTTCAGATTCCTGCAGGAGCAATCAGTGTTTATTACTTTCTAAAATTAAAAAAGACCTGAGCAAAAATATTAAAATTTGACAAGGCTGGAGGGTGGACAGTAATTTGTTACATTATTCTTGATACTTTTCATTCTTCTTTCTTTTCAATTGAATGATCCTTGCCTGCAAGTTGGAAGACAGATTTAGAAAACAGATTGAGGATATAAAAACTGGGTTCTGTATACTATTAGGATTACTGGAGTGGGATAGTCTTGTGTATCCTCTTCACCGCAATGGGCCTAACACATAGTTGGTATTCAGTAAGTTTACTGAATGAATTCAGATTTGTCATTTTAAATGACACCCCAATACAACATAATAAACGCTGTGGTCCAGATCCTTCCTCAGGACCTAGATAGTCATTCCCCAGCTTCTGGGAGTAGGTTGCTCATGGCTCATAATTCCTCTTTGGGAATCTCCCTCCATGAAAGGAAGCAGCCTTGCCAAGTTACAGCACTTCTCCAGGTATAGCCTCTATCATTTGTCAATACGCAAATATAAATTTCTGGTCCTCTTCTTTAATTTGGGACAACTCTGAAAGGTCATCCCAGGCTCAGAGTATTCTTTGGGATTGGCTGAGGATTCCGCTGAGATTGTTGTTTCTCCCTCTGCCTAATAATCCTGCTTCCATTACTTTCTTACAGGCGTGATCTTGAAAGTTAAGTCTCCAACCCCAGTGAATTTTCTGCACCTTAATCTCTTCAGACTCTTCCTTGGGGATCTTTTTTTTTTTCTTTCCATAGCAGTGATCAGTATGTGAAATAACCTTATTTATTTATACTTTAAGCCTTGCTTATTGTCTGCTGTTAGAATGTAAGCTTCCCAGGGCCATGTTTTCCCCACACACTGTGTGTGCACCACTGTGTCAAGCGTCTAGGGCACAAGCAGGCCCTAAACACTAGTTGCTGAAATGAATGAATGGAAGAGGCACACCTTGTACTGGCTCCCTGGTTCAGAATCTCTCAACAACTTGTAATACACACTTCCGAGCAGCGGCTCCGGACGTGCCCCCTAGGCCCCGCCCCTCCCGGCGCGCTCCTGCGGCCAGGCAGGAGCGAGCGCCCCGCGGACGTGGCGGCGGACACTATGCGACAACCCGCGGTACGGCTAGTGTGGATGGGTCGGGTGTCGTATGCTGAGCTGCTGGCGCTGCAGGAACGCTGGCTGCGGCGGCTGCAGGCGGAACCAGGCACCGACGCCCTGTCGGGTACTGACGCGGGCGCGCTCCTGCTCTGCGAGCCCGCAGGGCCTGTGTACACGGCCGGGCTGCGCGGTGGCCTGACACCCGAAGAGACGTCACGGCTGCGGGCCTTGGGCGCCGAGGTGCGCGCCACAGGCCGCGGCGGCCTGGCCACCTTCCACGGCCCCGGCCAGCTGCTCTGCCACCCGGTGCTCGACCTACGGCGCTTGGGCCTGCGCCTGCGCACCCACGTGGCGGCGCTGGAGGCGTGCGCCGTGCGTCTCTGCGAGCTCCAGGGTCTGCAGGGCGCCCGCGCACGGCCCCCGCCCTACACAGGCGTCTGGCTGGGCGAGCGCAAGATCTGCGCTATCGGTGAGCGTCGCGGGGCGGGGCGGGCGGGGCTGGACCAATGGAGGTGAATCTGCCGCGGGCTTTGAATCAGAACCACCCGCTGCGTTTAAGGTTTTGTTTTTTTTAAGCCACTTCACTGATCTTCTATTCAGAGCCAAAACGGCCCTCGGAGGTCATTTTGTACAACTTAACAAATGGAGAGACTCTAAAAGTGAATTGCCAGGTTACTTCACAATGTCAGGACAAGAAGGGCGCTTAGTTCTCACCCTTCTTTTTCCTAAGCATCAGAATCTCTGTGTTAAGGACGTTTTTCTGGAATCTCCATAATAAGTGCAGCTGCTGTGGAGCCACATACCACTGCCCCCTCCCCCCAACACACACACACACACACACACACACACACACACACACACTTTGTCCCCCTCTCTGATCTGTGCACAACCCCTTGGGAGCTCCAGAAACAAAGTTGGAAAATCAGAGATCTAGTCCAGTTTCCTCAACACACTGAAGGGGAACCTGAAGCTTGAGGAGAAGGGTATCGACTTTAAGACCCTTTGACTTGTCTTGCAGGAGTCCGCTGTGGAAGGCACATCACATCCCACGGCCAGGCTCTGAACTGTTCTACAGACCTCACGTGGTTTGAGCACATTGTGCCCTGCGGACTAGTTGGGACAGGCGTCACTTCCCTGAGTAAGGAACTCCAGAGGCATGTCACTGTGGATGAAGTAATACCATCTTTTCTTGAGGCTTTTAAAGAGACCTACAAGTGCACCTTGATCTCAGAGGACAGTCCCAACTGAAGAGTGTTCATGTTATCACAGCTGGAGGTCCTACCTTGGAAAGCACCAAGGCTGACTTGGAGTCACTTAAACCCAGATTCTAGATTTGGCCCTGTCATTCACTCACCATGAGACTGTGGGTAAATCAAGAAATCTTAGCCATTGTTTACATATATAACCTGGTTTATTTATATCTTGCCCACCTACCTCAGATACAGTGGATCTGAAAGTAACATGCTATATAAATATAAGGCATTAGCACTACTATTAATAACCATTTTCTAAGCTTAGAGAAACTCAGATGTCATAGGATATCATTTCTCAATTACTTACTACTTCCTCAATATTGTATTTAATTGGGCAACTCTGGGCTCCAGATCCTTTCATTTTGTAGGAATCATGTCTCAGGATGGCCCAGGTGAAGGGAATATAATGTGATACTTTCTGCAATAAAAGGAAAGAAGAAAAGCCTCTTTAAAGAATAAAATGGAGTCCTGTCTTACTGTCTTACAAGCCTGATAGCTATCTTTAGCTAAATTACCTGATGTGGGCCAGAGACTGGGGAGGAAGACAAGAATAATTTCTCACACTACAAATGCCAAAGATAGAAGTAGGTTTTTCTTATATGAGAGCTCTTAAGTATACAAGGCTGTGTACTAATTATCTATTGCTGCATAACAAATCACTCCAAAACATAAAGACTTAAAACAATAAAAATTTATTATCTCATATATATTCTGTGGGTCAGGAATTTGGAAGAAGCTTAGTTGGGTGGTTCTGGGTCAAGGTCTATCATGCGGTGCAATCAACATGTCAGCTGGGGCAGCTGTCATCTGAAGGCTTGACTGGGGCTGAAGGATCAGCTTCCAAGATGGTTCACTCACATGCTTGGTTGGTACTGGTTGTTGACAGTACCAACTGTCAACAAGATGGAAGCCACAGTGTCTTTCATGACCCGGCATTGCAAATCACAGTCATTTCTGCAGTCTCCTAATAAGTGAGCCCTACTCAGTGTGGAAGGGACTACACAAGGGTGATGGGAGGTGGGGATCATTTGGGACCATCTTGGAAACTGGCTACCACAGGCAGTTCGGGTGGAAAGAGCCTTGAATGAGAATTCAGGTGACTTGTTCCAGTCCCAGTTCTGTGGCCAGATCATTTACCTTCTCTGGGCTTCAGTTTTCCCTTACACAAGCATTGTCCAATAGAAACATAATGTGAGCCACATTATAATTTTACGTTTTTTAATGGCCACATTAGAAAAGTAAAAAAACAGGTGACATTAATTTTAATAACATTTTAATTAACCCAGTAGACCCCAAATATTGTCAATATAAAAATATTACATTTCTTTTTTCATACTAAATCCAGATATTCGTGTGTATTTTACACTTACAGCACACCTTACTATGTACTACACTTTAGATGTTCAGTAGCCATATGTGGCTAGTGACTGCCATATTGGAAAGTGCAGCTTTAGACATTTTTGTATCTAAAGTCCTTTTTGAGCTCCCAGGTTTGTGTGGCCTCAGTGGCTTCTTAGAAGAGAGGTGGGTCTTACCACATCTGAGGTTTGGTTTTGACTCTGCACATAATTTATATCAGTTATTCAAGCTGAAAGGGACTTTAGAAGTATATTCTTGTTCCCTCATTGTGTAAAGATGAAACCAAGACTTTGGAAGAACCTTGCTCAAGGCCACACAGTAAATTAATGAGAAAGCCAGAAATAGGTCCTAGGTATCAGCCTCTTTCTCATGCTCTTTTCCTACTGTGAACACTGACTTAAGAGCTCAGGACAATATGCTTTACATCTCATAGACATTCAGTCAGCATTAGGTGATTGGTGGTTTGTCCATCCATAATTTGCCCATATTCTTTCTAGGCCTTAGTTTCCCACCCATGGAGCCAACAGTGCTGTTGTAGGAGTTTGGAGGTAGGGAGTAGTTGATAATTACCTTGCCGTAGTATTGCCAACAAGGGAAATAATTATTCTAGGAAAAGTAGTTAGATTCTCATGGTTGGAAGGCAGTGCACAGTGCTGCTACCCATCTGGTACTTGGCTACTCTCTCCTGCAACGTTAATAAGTGGCCATACAGCCTATTCTAGAATGCCTTCAGAGACTGGGAAAGAAACAAACATATACTCATTTATTTTTAGTACCAGGTACTGTGTTAACCCTCTCATTCAGCAGCCTGTCCCATCCTCCTGGGCCACTGAGAAGCATTCTGCATGGTATAGTGGTTGAGTTTTCTGACCTTCCTGAGCCTCAGTTTCATTAGGCTGGAGCTTGGCACAGAATAGGCAGCAGGAAATGTATGGTAGTTATTAATGTCATTCACCCAGTATTTCAGGTACATGGCAGGATTATATGTTGTGGTCCCCTTGTGGTTGGGTGGGGCCAGGTAACTTGTTCTGGTCAATGAGTTATGAATGGAGGTGACATGTCACTTCTGAACTGGAACAGTGAATTGTTGGTGTCAGACCCCTTAAAGTTTCTCTTTCCCTCTGAAACAATGACCAACAACATTCAAGATAGTGGCTGCTTCCTGAGGGACTGGGATGAGGAGAACCCCCTGCTGCTGATGGACATGGTGGAGTTAAAGCCACCAAAATGTGGGAGTTGTTCATGACCACAGCATAACCTAGCTTATTCTGACTGGCAATGTTCATACTAATTAGGACTCATATTTGCAAGTGTAGAAACCCAACTCAAAATAACAAGTAAAAAAAACAGGGTAATTGGAAAAGGTACTGCGATTTTGATAAAATTCAAGGCTGCAACTGGGCTCAAGAACAGAACCAGAACATGTAGCCCTTTAGGAACCCAGGCAGTCTTTTTTCTCCTATTCTCTTCAAGACTTCTTGGGGCGTTTGCATCCCTGTGTCTTGCTTCCATCCAGCTTCCCTTGTTTCTCAGGCCACATGGTGGAAGATGGCTGCTGCTGTTATTCATGAATGTTGGAGTAGAGTCAAGGAATATCCCCATGTTTCAGGCTTGAGCAACTGGGCGGATGCTAGAAGTAATGCTGGGATGGAGAGCGCTAGGTGAGCACCAAGTTTGGAGATGATGAGTTCAATTTTAGATAAATTTGACACGCTTGTGGGAGATGCAGGCAGATACGGCGAGCTGGGTGTCTGGATCTGGAGCATGGGTGTGACGGGTGATGGTTTAGGTTTGGGAGCCCAAGGAGAGAGAAAAGGAGGGCAGAGGACTGATAAATGTGAGGCACAGGCTGAGGAGGAGCAGGCCAAGGAGACTGAGAAGCAGTAGGCAGAGAAGTAGCATGGGGCCTAGAATGAGACAATAGGATGATCCCACTCCTCCGGCAGCACGGCAAGATAGGTAGGATTATTTTATGGGTGAGAAAACCGAGGCTCAGGAAGGCTAAGTGACTTGTATGAGGTCACGCACTTAGGGGCAGAGTCAGTCCCTGACTCCCAGTCTGGGTCTCTCACAGCTGCCTCTGAAGGGTGAGTGGGGCAGGCATCCTGGAGGAGACATGCTTCCAAGAACATTTGGGTAGGCAGAGCTGGGGAGGATAAGGAGAAGAAGGCCAGAGTCTGGCTGTTGCTGGGCCTGTGGAACCACCACTGCGGGTTCCTGACTCTCCTTCCTGCCTGGTCAGAGCCCACCTCTGGTTTCCCACTGGGGCCCTTCCTGAAGGAAGGAAGAAGGCTGAGCATATGAAGGAGGATATTTAACACCAAGGCTTTCTGCCTCCAGAAAGCCTCTTGTTTGTGCAGAGTCTTTCCCCAATGAATAGATTGTCCAGAGTCCGGTGAATGAATGCTGAGTGTGAGGACGTGACCAACTGCAGTGACTGGTCCAGCACCTTGGTCCTCTGGCGAGACTGGCAGGAAACCATACAACCAGCTCTGGCAGTGTGGCCAGGCGCATCTCGCTTCATGGAAAAAGCCCTTTTCAAAAAACCTCATGAAAATCAGATTTTTGCAATCTAAATCTGACTTTGCTTTTTAAATTGTAATTACCACACATATTATCATACCTATAGCATTAAAAAAAAAACAGCATTTGTACTCCCACCTAACAACACATCCCTTTCATTTGTGTGTCTCCAGTACTTGATCATGAACAGGTATATTTTATGGACTTTTAATTATTATGTGAATAAAATTTTGTATAGTCTTTTAAACCAAACATAATATCACAAGTATTTTCCCACATTGCTACATAGTCTTTATAATTGTATTTTTGAATGTCTTGATTTTGTTCTCATTTCTTTTAAAACTTAGATTGGTTTGGGTTTTTTTAATATAGATAACGCATGCACATGGAATAAAATTAAGAAGGTACAAAATGGTAGCATTGAAATGTGAGTCTTGTTCCTATCCCTATCCCCTGTAAACCCAGCTCCTTTTCCTGGAGGTCTAAATGATGGTAAATGTCTTTTTTATATATTTCAGAGATATTTTATGCATATGTAAGCATACATGATTATATACATTTTTCATATAGTAGCATACTATACACACAGCACTGTACTTTGGATATTTTCAGATCAAAATATAATTAGCATCCTCATTTTTAAAAATGACTAGAGAGGGCAGCCGGTTAGCTCAGGTCGTTAGAGCGCAGGCTCATAGCACCAAGGTTGCCGGTTCGATTCCCACATGGGCCAAGGAGCTGTGCCCTCCACAACTAGATTGAAGACAACTACTTGACTTAGAGCTGATGGGTCCTGGAAAAAACACATTGTTCCCCAATAAAATTAAAAAAAAATGACTACAGAATATTCCATTCAGCTCTAGTATGTGTGGGGTTTTTTTTCTAAACCATCAAGCAATTCTCCAGTTCTCTCCAGACACTAACCAGTGTACTACAATTTAACTCAATTCTGAAACTGTATACCTGGAAATAGTGTCAGATCTCACAGGTTACGGGCTCAGTCCTGCAAGACTGCCTCCACTTCAGATGCCAATCGCAAGTCCAGGTTATCACCTGTGCTTCTGACCAACCAGCCATAAGTTGGAGGTTCCCATGACCCCCTACTTGGGTTTGATTAATTTGCTAATGTGACTCACAGAACTTAGGACACCAGTTTACTCACTAGATTACCAGTTTATTATAAAAGGATATGACTCAGGAATAGCCAAATGGAAGAGATGAAAAGGGCAAGGTATGTGGGAGAGAGCAGGGAGCTTCCATGCTCTCTGAGCGCACCACTCTTCACAAATCACTAAGTGTTCACCAACCCAGAAGCTCTCCAAATCCCATCTTTTTGGTGTTTTTAAGGACGCTTCATTACATAGGCATGATTGATTCAATCATTGGCCATTGGCAACTGATTCAACCTCCAGCCCCCTACCTTTCCTTGGAGATGGGGGTGGAGGGGGGCAGTGCAGGTTGGGGAGGATAAAGAAGGGAAGAGGACTGAAAGTTCCAACCCTCTAATCACATGGTTGGCTTCCCTGGCAACCAAACTTCAGGTGCTTTCCAAAAGTCACCTCTCTAAGATAATAAAACACATACACCTTTGTCACTTAGGAAATTCCAAAGGTTTTAGGAGCTCTGTGCCAGGAACAGGACAAGAACAAATATATATTTCTTCTTATTATAAATCACAATGTCACACCATTTCAGTGCCATAGGCTTACTTCCAATTGCCAGCATCTGCACCTTTGATCTAAAGACTTTATGTG